AATATCGTTGCGCTCTTTTGTCTCGTAGAATGGTGGGGCGGGCACACACACATATGCTGCATATCACATGGATGTGCGCCCGCTTAAAAATCACTCCCCATTGGCCCACCCTTAATTGCCAATAACTTTTTAGGGGTAAGTCTGATCAAAAAGTGCAAGAGGACTTTTCTGCTCAGAATCACCCCCTGATCCTAGGGTGTTCAGATGTACATGTACTTCTGAAACACCCTGTATAGGCATTTTGATATGAATATTGGACTAATGATGTGACGTTAGCTAGACGAGCGTCATTTACCTTCGTTCTTAATAGAAGTCCTATAGCAATCCAACACAATGTTCTAAACAATGCTTATAACTTTTTCTACAATTATTTTTCGTATGTGACTCCATTGTGTGTAATAAGTACTTTCTTAAGAAAAATGCAGTGTCGGTTCAGTATCTTATCGTAATTTGATCATGCGACGAAAATTATTATATTTACATCTATCTTAGGCCGATAATTATACGACGTGTAAGAAAAAATTTTTCCACAACTCCAATTATGACATTAGATCCTCGATGTTAAACAATACAAAGTCATACCTCTCTCTGCTAGAATTCACGCCTTGATTCTTTCTGGCTCTCACTCGCTTCTCAGTACCAGACCCAGATTGCATTAGAATCCTCTTAACAGTGGATTTACGCGCTGAAGTGGCCTTCATGTTCATTTTCAGAGAAACTGAAGACAAATCACAACATGACTTTGTCCTCGTGCCTGGTGTCGACCGACGATTCCGCCTTGTATTCGATTCCACAGACCTGGGAGTATTGATAATATTCAAGACAGATCCAGTCGGCCTGTTCATCTGCACATAAGCTGGTGGTTTGTTTATATCTACGTACGGTGGTGGTTTGTTCATCTGGACATAAGGTGGTGGTGGCATCTCTTCTCTGGCTCTTGAAGGCGTCTGGGGTACACTGTGGATAGGGGACAGCTGAGGTGGCGAATCATCATCAAAAACTGCCGAACGTGTGCTGCAGGATGGAGTGCATGATTGCTCCAGTTCCTCCTCATCATCACTGTTGCCGAGCTCCATTGACGTGCGACGAGTCATGAAGCTCCTGGTTGTGGTCTCAGCGGTCTTGTTCATCATAGAGGCATCCTCTGGGTCCTGAATATTCGAGTGGTCGTGGGGGGGATTTTTGTCGTCAATTGTGGAGTCATTGGGATTGTAGAAGAATTGAGTGGAAGTTTCTTTGAATGATGGGCTTTTGGGAGTGTCAGTGATTAGGCTTGTGGGGAGTCTGGGAAAAAAATGGAAAAGAATGTTTACTTGAGGAATAGATAAAAGAAACTCGGGGTAAAATTGACAGTTGGGGAGAAATAAAAACCTTTAAAGTAATATGAATATAACTCAAATTTTGAAGATTAAAATCTGAGATAAATTCTAAAGGACAGTTAATATAAATATAAACATTCGGGTTAAGGCCCGGGTGTACTATCTTTCGAACGTTATCTCGATGTTTTTTTCATCTTTCGTCATCTGAAATTGTCAATTGAGCCCTGCATCATGTAGAAGTTTTGAAAAATTATGAATGAAGAATAAAAAAAAGTAGTAGAAATTCTTAATTTTTTCAAAGAGCATTTTTCATTTATATTCAGAATAAGTTGAATAACACGAAATTGAAAAATGTATTTGATTTACGGTGACAAATGGCGGCCTGTCACCCAATATTATGCAGGGGGAAGGCCGATTTCGTAAATCTTTTCCCACACTGCACAGAGACATTTATTACGGAAAAGGCTCTTTGAATAAAGTTGTAATATTTTGGAGAATTTTTCAATCACACTTCTAACACATAAAAATGGCAGATGACTGTATTCCACTGTTTTGAACATTGAGATACCTAGCTGTCACTTCCCATGAAGAGTTAGTGTTTTGTTGTCCACCATGGAAAATGACAGCTAATAGATAATTTGCCACAGCGAATCAGATATTTGTAATCTCCACTTTTTTCAACTCATTCTAAATCTCAATTAAAAACGCTCTTTGGAAAAGTTCAGAATTTTTTATATTTTTTTTTATCATTCCATCATAATTTTTGGGAATTTTTACATGATAATGCACCACTCAATTGACAATTTTGGATTACGAAAGATAAAAAAACCCAGATAACATTCGAAAGATAGTACACCCAGGCCTTAAGTTTGTGCTCAATCGGCAGTCTCGTATCATTGATAACAATTAATTTGGAGGTGCCAAACAATAGGGTTTTATGAAAAAATGATCACGTCAATATTAAAGAGCAGATTAAAATCTAGAAAAAATCTTGAACAATCAGAAAAAAATGCTATGCCGATTACGAAAATTATTATCAGTGTCAATCTTTTATAATAGATCATTTATGTTTCTGGATGCCCCGAAATAGTGGATTAAGTGAAAGTGACAGTAATGCGCTGGTTGAACGCTAATCATGCCATGAAGAGCCGGATATTTTCGACCCTACAAGGTTGCTAGTAATCGAAACACCCTAACAAAACGAAAAACTATTGTTTAAAAAAATTACTGAAGTACAAGTTTGACGCATAAATTTCTCACATTCATCAAATTTAGACTTCATATTAAAAAATTTCAGTGACAATGTTTTTCTTGGAAATCTCAATTTATTTTTCTCTGTTACATCCAACGACTGAGCTGGACACTATCCATACTACTTTAAAATTTGGAATGAAGTACACTGCTGAAAATTTTTGGTCAAAACTTCCGGTACATTTTTCGGAAATTTTTGATTAAGTGGCAGTTCCATCTAAATGTGATAGAATTTCCTAATTGAAAATTCCAAATTTCATGGAAAAATCAATGGAAACTGTCAATTCAGTTTATTTATTTCATGAATATTAATAATAAATCAGGAAAATTCAGATAAATGTTATTCAAAAAATCTGGGTGTGCATTTTACTTCATTCTTGATTCAATTTGAAATCAATTTGAGGCAGAACCATTTTTCATTGCATCATAATTTGGAGCTATTTCAATTATATGTCCATTTTACCGAATTTTTACCATGTGTTATAAAACCCCACAAGTTTTTTTTACAAGTAACGATGTACATAATTGAAAATGAACTCACAAATATTTTCCAATGTCCTGCAATTCTCCCTTCGTCATGCTGTGATACAGCCAATCAATATGAAAACGTAATTGATTAGTCCCTGGAATGCAATGAGGCATCGACAGAACAACTGTCTGTGTGTCTGGAGGTGTGACATTCCCTCCAAATTTCTGCATAAACAAAATCATTCATCCCTTCATGTACATTCATATGCCCAAGTGAAATATATGAGATGAATGGGAAATTATTCACTCACGCGAATAATTGCCGCGGTCTCTAGAAATTGTGGTACATCGAAGCCATCCAAATAAAAATTGAGGGGATTGTTGTTGGATGTCAACAGACTTCGATTCAGTTCGATATTTATGGAACCGTTGTTGTCATTGGCATTAACCATGATTCGATTTGAATATCGATCACGGTGTCAAAGAAATTGGAAGAATATATTCAGAAACGTTGTAGATATTCACTCAGACGTATTTCCTTAGTTTTTGGATTATTATTTGATGTTTTATGGCGCCAGCTGTTTAGGACTAGGTCCACAGTTTCACGGCAGCTAGTTTTTGGATGTTTCCGAGCAATTCTGCATGACAACACACCACTAGCCAAGCGATTTTCATGCAATGACTCTATTCACTATTCAGATGGGCTTCAGTGTCGCCAGACAGGAAGGATTGGATTCTGATATCCCCACCATAAAATTATGGTATATACTTTAAAATTATGGTATCAAGGGATGGTAATATAGAAACCGCTCAAACGCTACGAAATTTCCAGTAGGCACCTTTCAAATTGTGTTCAAGTCTTGTAAGAGCAGTTTATTATCCCTTATTTCTGATATCTACGCAAAAAATATGGCATATGACTTACAAACCAATAACAATTGATAAATGCTCGAGATCAAAGGAATAAAACTACAAGAAATCAGACAAACATTATCTCACACTGATAGGAAAAATTCGTTCTGCTGAAAAATTATGTTTCACAAGAGATATCTTTTTTCATGTTGAATGAATTCAGCTGCAGACATTCAAGAAATTTTCCCTTGAACCATGGTGATTTTCGTGGCAACATTGTTCTCGTGGTCGCTCTGCAGAAAATTATATGAGGCTCAGTTTATATCAAGTGAATGTTACTGAGTGGTTTGTTTTTATTCCCACCAAACACGCATAATTTTCATGGAACAAATGATAGTTTCGAGAGAAAATTTGGTTTGTTTTCCCGAAAACTGGGATATCGGCAAACTAAATAATTTCTAGAACGATTTTTTTCGGGGAGAATAATGTTTCATCCTCGTGAATATATTTTCTTCGGTGAATTCTTATGAAGTTTACTCACTTTAAAGGATTGTGGTACAACAAATTGTATGTTTTCCTGCCGACAACATAACTTCTTGTGGAGATATTTCTAATGGTCCTGACAAAAATTTAATTTTTCTGAAGGATCTCAAACTTTCTTACATCAAGTTGGTTAATTTCGATGAAATCATGAAATAAATCTGTTCCACTCCATCAAATTTTCTCACACGAAAAATATAATTTTTCTACAGAAGTACTTTTTTTTTTCTCAATGCATCATCAGACTTCTCACTCAGCTGCTACTTTTCAACTAATCCTTCTGTACGCTCAGTAATAATGATGATTAATCTCTAAATATTCAAACGGGTCCCAAGGGTCCGCAGGGGCACAAAGATCATCTCCGTTACCCCTTCTTGTAACACCAAGCAGACTTATAATCAAATAATAAAATGAAGGATTTTGACCCTCTTGACCCTTGCTGTACTCTGTGACCCTTATGGCCCTCAAGAAAAAAAAAGACAAAATATATATAATTCAGCTGGATCTCAAAATTATGGTATAATTGTGATACCATCACACTTTTCTATGGTATATGGTATCAAAGATAGAATTACGGTAGCGATACCATCATAATTATGGTATTCGCTAAAGCGATTTCTCGCCGTCTGGTGGTGGTTTGTAGAATTACTATCTTGCGGAACCAATCTGATGGTAGTGCGCCAAGGCTCTAGAGTATGAAATAGCAAATTATTCTTTGATGTGGACACAAAAAATGTAGACCTAAAAAAGTTCATTACCAAAATTTTTTAACTTGCTTTCGGATCCGAGATATTCAACAAAAAATGGACTCAACCGACTCGGCTAATTTCATTATAGAATATTCATCTCTACATGAAATACTTACGCCGCTTTATATAATCGTCAAGAGAGAAATGTTGACTGCAAACTTGCATGTTTTCATCGTAAATTCCTCTCAGTTTCAATGCTTCCATCCACTTGTTCCATAACATTAAATTGGATGGAAAACTATGGAAACTTAAATTCAGTTTATTCTTTACTTTGCACTGTGGAACACAGCATCCTCTTTTCGAATTCTTGAGATAATTGTTCTGTGCCATTTTCATAAACAATCGGTAGGTTATAAGATCAAAATTTAATTCACGGCTTGTACTTGAAACAATTTGACATTTCAGCACTATTTGAGGTTAGCGCTGATGGTGGTTTTGCGCGATCGCGAATACCTGGCAACACTGATGGGGTTAAGTATCGTACAGTTCGTGTGTTATCTGGGCAGGGTAAAACTTCAAACAGTTTTCTTCATTTGATTAAAAAATCGTCGGAAGATGATAAATTGTAAAACTCCAGATGTCCTTGAGCGCCGTCGCCAGTTTGCGCTGTCATCGCCATCGCTCGAAGAATTTGTATGTTGATTAATTAGGGGGAGCGTGGTTTGTACTTTTAAAACTCTACAGACGACACCATCTAGGGAAAGTTACCATCTAGTGAGAAACTTCGCAGACCGAGTCAAACTGCGCCAAGCCACCGGGTGTACGGTTAGATTTCGGTTAAAGTTAACCCTAGTCTGGTCACCAAATGCGACCCTACGCCTTGGTCACCGCCGCGGGGATGCGGCGCCGTATTATTTAGGCTTTAGCGTTGCCGAATTCACTCTACACTGCCTGGGTGCGTTTAGCGAGTTTCCGGCAACGTCGCGTCGTTGGAAATTTCATTTAGCATGGGAAAAATAATTCATCTGTCCGAAATAATTTGTTTTCTTTTGGAATTTTGGGAAATATGTTGTTCTAAAAACTACTATAATTTTTTAAACACTTCAATTAACCAAGTCAATTTTTTTGAATTTTTACGGTTAGCCAATTGTAATGAAAGAAAAACGACGCGGCGGGGTTTCCCTCATAGGGTGACCAACTTAGAGTTACATTTCGTAATAGTGTGAGTGTGCTGCTTTATCTCAATAATTATTGATTTTGGAGGAAAATTTCAAGATTTTTATTGGAGAGAAACTTCCTCAACCACAAAGATTATTTTCCCTCAAAATTGGTTGTTTAAGAGAGCGAATGTCAAATTGAAATTCTAGATACGTTTGTTAGAATTTTTGATTCAATTTCCTTATTTTCAACTTGTTATCAATTTCTTACATTGTTTTACGAACTAGTTATGTAATGAAAACTGAATTGTGAGTAAAAATATAGAAAATCGATTTGTGTGAGTACACTCGATGCACTAGAAAAGAAGAGATACTGGAGAAGATATCAACGAAATCTGGATATTCCCTCAACTCCTCCTGCGTTTCTTTATCTGAAGTTCCTCTAGTTGTCTCAGAACCTCCGGATCGTCAGAGTATTTTCTGAAATTAGGGAGTACTCGGCGTTTGAAATAAAATTCTAGATCAACCGCAGTCCGTGAAGGTGCAAAAATCTGAAATTCATGGTAACAACAATTTTATTAGATATTTTTTTCATAGTATGTTAATCGGGAAGAGGATTGTGTTTTTTCAAAGGTCACATGTATGAGAAAAATCAATTGACCTACTTGGAGTCTCAATAATGTATTTAAGTAATATTTTATTTGAAAAAATGTATGAAATATGTATGCATATTAAAAAAAAAACATGTTGTCCCACTTCTTCCCAAAAATATGAAAATACTTACATTGGCTTTTGCCATTTGTTCCCAGACTGTACTGTTCGTGGTTTTAGAAAGTAAGTTCTCGTTAACGAGCCACTTCAGAAGCTTCTCGTCGTCAGCACTGGACCAGGTTTTGTTGATTCTGTTGAGAGTAAAGAAATTTATTTTATTTATGTATTTATTGATTTATTATATTGAAAAGCCGAAGCCAGAGTACAGATAAATATCTATTTCAAGATGAATAAATTAAAAATAGTATTCACATATGAGGTCTGCAGATCCAAGATGGCATTTGGTAAACATATTTAAAAACACATTTAATCACTGGATATGATAGTATCAAGGAGATTGGCGTCTGAAAATGGGAGGCACATGGGTAAAACGGGAAATGGAAAAAAATTGATTCATTTTATACTTCCATTCATGTTTTATGAGAGTTATCAACACGTAATGACAACGAATTTCTTTAAATAGACCGTTTCATTTTCTCTGATTTTCGTATCTCAGAGATAATAAAATACTTTTAAATTAAATCAAATCAAACTGACTTTTTTCTCTTGTTATTAACTGTTATGTACGTGCAATCAGACTACTTCACTTGGACGAATTTCGTTGAAAATAAAAAATAATAAGAAATCTGATCTCTCGTGATTTTCTTCCATCACTTGTCTCTTCAATTTGCTTACTCACGTGGTCAATGATATGTCCGTGTTATTCACTGGCTTCAGCGGCTTGGTGAACCCCTTCTGGCCTGTGCTTGCACGACGTTTTTTATTTCTAAGAAGCAAAATGGCACAGGATAAAATCATTATGGAACGAAATTATTACAATAACTGAACTTGTAACAAAGCAATTTTGACCAGAGTTCGCACTGATCCAGTAATTAAACTAATTTGGTACTTAAAAAAAAATGATTAGATGTCAGTGATACCCAGAACCACATGCGAAAATTGAACTTGGAACATTTTTAGACGGTGTCTAATCATCAAACACTTCTGGACGTAAAATTTCCGGCAAAACGGAAGGGTTCAGGTGACTCGACGCACGAGCACTTCAGCCATCTTTTTGCTTGCATATTGTCAATTTTATCGTCAATTAATATCCATTACATTTTTTTTATGATGAAAAGAAAAATTTCAATGGTGTTCAAATCGGCATTCTACTTTGTTATATTTTTTTTTATATACATTAAAACTAGCTCTGAGCTGATTACTTTGAACACTGATCGTTTCACCTTATGACAAGACTTTTGTCACAGAAAAAAGAAATTAGAATCAATGATTTGACTAGTACGTACTCTGCAATATTGGCAGGGCTCGTATTAATGAAAGCCATGTTCAGGATCTCCTCTGACTCAACTCTTTTCCCCTGGTTGTTTAGAGAAAAGTTATTTTCAACCTGAGATATCTTCCTTGAATCACATGGGAAATAAGCAAGAATTGCACTATTCATTTTGCTGCACAGCATGTCAAGGGGTGCATCGAGAGGAGGTTTCTCTGCCTCAAGTAGTAAATATGGAGTCTTCACACTGTTCCTTCTGCTGCTTAGGACTTTTGGTGATGCATCGTAAGGAGGAGTATTGAAGAAACTTTTTTTAACTGATGGAATTCTGAAAATATCACATCTATATTACTGTACTATACGTAAATGAACGATGAAGTGTACTTTTTGTTTTCATTTTTCACTATATTTGTAATAATAGTTCATTTTAGAGTAGGAAAAAATACACCCAAAAATTTTTTATTTCAAGACTCATGACCTTAAGTTAGACTTTCAAAAGACGTAAGTTGAGGTTGTTTAAAATTTCAAATGGAAGTTTTTGAATGTCGCAACTTATGTAATAATAATAATAATAATAATAATGATAATATTAATAGAGATATTAACGTACAGGTATTTTCCAATGTCTTGAAGCTCATTCCTCCCGATACTCTCATGGAGCCAATCAACGTGGAACCTCAGAAAATCGGTCCCAGGGACTAGATTTGGGGTTGACAACACAACAGTCTCGTCATCGGGTATCGTAACTTGACCTCCATACTCCTGCAGTGGAATAACCCAGAATATAACATGCAAATAACCTATTCTCTCCCAATTAACACTAATTTCTCTGCAGAAATTTCCGCAAAATTGATAAAAATATTGATATTCTCCTCTATTTACAACTGTTTACTTACGTGAATTACAGCTGCTGTCTGCAAGAAACCCAGGACATCGAATCCATCGAGATACATCTTGAGTGGAGAATTCTCGGCGGTGAACAGCTTCGGGTTGACCTTCATCGTTTTTTCATCAAATTAATTGTATTTATTAAGTACAAGTTGATGAATAACGGTTCAATTGTTGATGAAACAATCAGGAACTATGAAACTGTTCACCGGCTTCCGTTCCATTGTATATGCACTCTGTTGCACGCAGCGTTGCCAGAATGTTATAAAAGCATGGCGCGACCATAGAGGTATAAAAAATCCTAATTGGCTGTATCCTTGATACAACCGTCAGATTTAACGTGGATAGGTCTATGGACCGAAATCCTCATTGGCAGTATCCTGTTTAAAATAATTCTTCACAAGAATTTAATGTTATATTCAATTCTATACGTCTCAATCATTTCATAAAGAATTTCAAAATTGAAAAATTCGTGATTCATAACTAGAACCTGCTTAATTGACGAATTCCATGGAAATACAAGAATTTGAATTGACGAATTCCACGGAAATACAAGAATTTAAAAAAATTCGAATTTTCCAATTACTTTATACTATGAGAAATTGCTCTAAAAAGATTTAGTTGATTATGAATGCTTTCTATTCATTCGCTCTGTTGGATAAGTAGGAAACTACTTTGATGATTGAGTATGCGAGGGAGCCACTTATTTGTAGGGAGCGACAATTTTGCCACTCTTGGCGACATCTGTAGATGGCGCGGACGCTCCCTCGAATTGAAACCGGCCAATCAGAGCCCACGGAATGTCGAGGCAGTTCTCTGCACATGCGCACAACCTATTTGCGTCGCAAAAAGTTTCAGAACGTTGGNCATTTCATAAAGAATTTCAAAATTGAAAAATTCGTGATTCATAACTAGAACCTGCTTAATTGACGAATTCCATGGAAATACAAGAATTTGAATTGACGAATTCCACGGAAATACAAGAATTTAAAAAAATTCGAATTTTCCAATTACTTTATACTATGAGAAATTGCTCTAAAAAGATTTAGTTGATTATGAATGCTTTCTATTCATTCGCTCTGTTGGATAAGTAGGAAACTACTTTGATGATTGAGTATGCGAGGGAGCCACTTATTTGTAGGGAGCGACAATTTTGCCACTCTTGGCGACATCTGTAGATGGCGCGGACGCTCCCTCGAATTGAAACCGGCCAATCAGAGCCCACGGAATGTCGAGGCAGTTCTCTGCACATGCGCACAACCTATTTGCGTCGCAAAAAGTTTCAGAACGTTGGAGTTTTGCGTAGTTGGGGGGTATATAAGACGATGGGCTGCCCCAGAGCGCTCACTTTCGATCCAGAAAGCAACGAGGGACCACCCAGAAGCAGAGAGGCCGAGAAGCTGAGGAGTAGAGAAGGAAAAGCCGAGAAAGGAGAACGGAGAAACTGAAAATCAACGGATCTCAGGAGATCTACGGAGGAATCAAGGACTTCAAGGTCAGTAGAACCTTCGAGAGAGGTGAACTTTCTATGTGCACACCGCTTGACCATCTTGAGGCTCGACCCGAGGCAAATCATCGAGAGGTGTAAGTTCACTGGGTCACCGCATAGTTCGAGAGAATTTCCTCCCACCTCTCCGCGGTCTAGCAGAGTGCACGCTAAGTCCCGATTTGGACTAGTGATTGTTAACCCGATTCTCAAGGACACTTGAGAACTTTCTAGTCTCAAATCCATTGAAAACTCACATTCGCTGTAAATTTGGAAACTCAATTTCGCCAATAAAAAAAATTTCGTTGTAACCAAGAAACTTAATTCCGTTAAATGGTAAGGAAAACTCAATTTATGCTTGTAAGTATCCGATAAGTATGCCGATAGATGGCGTGGGTGCATAAGCATTTTTTCGCCGAGTGACCCTCCAAAACGAAACCATAGACGTATCCACGTCAATATCTAGAGCGCTTGTTCGACTCCCGAGCTTACGGAAATTCGGAGAGAGATAGCCTGCGTAGC